TATTATTCCGTTAATCAATGATAACACTTTCTTGTAGATGTATCTTGCTCTTCTGTTTGATGCTGTTGGAAAGAATCTGCATGCGTAGTTAAAATCATATATGCAACATGTATGTGTTATAACATTAATGGATAGTATGTATACATATATATATTTTTGAAGAAATTACTCACCTTAGTAAGGGAAAGAAAAGAGTAAATGGAGAAGCCAAAATAAGATCGCACTGCTCTTTCTGAAGTATGAAAATAGTCCTTCCTTCTTCAATATTGCTACCAAAAGCAGCTCTAGATATAACATCTCCACCTACATTTAGGAATTCATCTGCCACATCCAACTCACAACTTCCACTTTTGCTAACCAATTCCTCCCATCTATTTATCATTTCATCACAACACTCACAAAATGCTGGGTACAACCTCTGTGAGTCACACATAAAAAAAATAGGAAAATGAATGGTCATCCAAAAAGAAGAGATGAAATAATAAGTAGTATAATACATACCTTAATCTTCTCTATATGAAAAGCAGGGTTTAGTATCTTTCTATGGTGGTCCCATTTTTGACCATTGTAACTAGCAAGTCCAGTAACAAACATGTCAATGAAGGCATTGGCTTGAGGCTTCTGAAATTCATTATGTCTGTTCACCACTTCTTTAATTAGCTTTGGATCTGATACTACAATCCGAGGTGTTGGTCCAGCCCACATCACAAATAATCTCTCTGCACCATATATACCTAATTAGTAAAGTTTTAACAAAATATATGGAATGTTAAAGAAATATATATACATGGCATGGCATGGCTGGCTTACCGTAAGTTTTAGAAAGACGAAGAATAAAAGGATTAACCCAAGGAACGATATCATGATTTACTAACGGTGTTTTCTTTGCTTCTCTAGACATTCTCGTCATCTCTTTCAGATTTCCAAACAGAAATTGGTAGGGCAGCCCATGAATACCTTCCTTCTTCAGCTTCTTTTCGATCATCTTTGGCCACCACCATAATGTGTAAAATGATTTTACACAAAAAATCGCTATCAAAATACCAATTGTTGCACCAATTAGTGTTGCAATTGCCATAGCCATAGCCTAGATATTTTCTATCAACTGATGAATTAATAGTGAGAGTATTCTGTTGAGATGTACAAGAACAGAGCAAAGGTTTATTGGACTAAAATTTCCTCTTTGCTTTCTAGTCCTTATATTTGCCAAAGTGGGTCCATCAAATATTATCATATTTGGATCTTTGCTAATCAACCGTATACTCTTTCTCCTAAATTCATCTCATTTTATTTTCTTTTATTCATTTAAAATATATGATACAATATGGTAAGAAGTACAAAAATCACAGAGTTACTCTCTCATCCCTTTTTGCTTGTTTAATTTTAACTTTTTATTTGTCTTTTTCTATTTATTTTTTTTGACAAATCAAAAAAAGATAGCTTTTTTTTCTATTATATCATCAATTTGTTTAAAGAATTAATATTTTTTAAAAGGTAAAATATTTTTAATAAGTAAATTGATTTTGAAATGCAATTGTAAAATGGACTAAATAAAAGGTATCAGGTAAAAAGATAAATAAAATATAGTACTACATAATAAAATAAATGCGTATGACAATGTCATTTACTGACGCAAATACCAAGAAATAAAAGTAACATGCAAATGGACACGTCATGGTAAATTAAGCTGTCCCGTTCTTCTATATTATATAAATATATAAAAATAAAAGAAAATGGTTTGATATATCTTATATTTAGTTGGTGACATGAAAATATTTGTTATTATTTGGTTAGTGAATGGAAAATATTTTTGAGAAAATTTCTCTTATCTTTTATAAGAGAGTAAAATATAATTTTCAGAAAAATAGTTTTTGACATAAAAATCAATCTCAATAATTGATTCGAGATCTGATCCCTAAGATCGATCCAAAATATGACTTTGATGATCGACTATGGATCCAACCCAAATCCTCGATTCTGACTCCCGATCCGAGATCCGACATTGGAAATGAGACTTGACCTCGATCCCAAAACCCGATTTAGTTACTATTCTAGCTCTCGACTTGAGATCCGACATTCAATCTAAAACCCGACCCCAACCTAACACCTGAATTGGGAATGAATCTCGAGGATCGACCCAAAATCCGACCCCAAAATTTGACCGATGACCTGACCCAACTCCGTCTGAGACCTGACATTTAAACTAGGACCCAACACCAACATTCGATTCGATCCGACTTGGGACCTGCCAGTAACTCCCAATCTGAGACACAATATTTGAATTGGGTCCCTACCCCACCCCGACCTCGACACTCAAATCGGACACGACATCGATGATTGATCCAAAATCCAATCCCAAGACCTATTCCAAGGCCTGATTCTGAAACTCGAACTTGGACACAATCGATCAATTCAGATTATGATTCCGACATTCGAATCGTAACTCAACATTCAAATCAGAACTCGATCCTGACACCCGACATCCAATGCAGAACCCAACTTTGAACTGAGTCCCAACTCGACCTCTGATCCAAGATTCAGCTTCAAAATTGGAACTTGACCCCGATTTACAAATCAAGACTTGACCACACGCGACTCGTAACTTGACTTCTAAATTGAGATTTGAATTATTATTTTTTTGGGTGGGGGGTGGGGGTTAGGGTAGAGCAGGGCCGACTCAATAAGATCGGGGGCCTAGAGCCAAACCTTAAAGAGAGGCCCTAATATTTTGAGAAGTATTTTGTTTTCTTAATCTCTTTAATAATTTTATTCTTGACTTCACTCGCCAATAAGTTTAATAATTCACTTTGTATATCATGTCCAAGGTAATGACTATGAATTTCATCATGCTTATTCTTCGAATATGTTCTTGCATAGTTGGATCAAATTTATTAATCATTTCAATTAGGGTTTAAAAATTACCGTTACTTTCTTGATAGATCTTTCCATTTGTTCCCCTAAATGCTAAATTAATTTTCCCAAGAATTTTGATCACGTCAATAATTCTTGACAATATATTTTTTCATTGCACCTTATCTCTATCAATTTGGTCCTGCACTGTTTTATTAATTGTTTTTTTAATGAAATCTCATTTCTAAATCAATACACGAGCTCATATTATTAATAGGCATAATACATAAATGACCCTTAACTTAGTTTCAACAGAAAACTATGCCCTCCAACTTTGAGTGTGCACAAGTAGCCGCTTAAACTTGTATAAAAGTGAACAAGTAGACACACATGTCCTACATGGCATAATACATGTAGGACGCCACGTAGGACACAAAATTTTCGTGTAGGGTTCCATGTAGGATGAATGTATCTATTTGTTCAATTTTATACAAGTCTAAGTGTCTACTTATGCATACCCAAAGTTAAAGGTCATAGTTGTCAGTTGAAGCCACGTTAAGGGTCATGTTTATGTATTATGCCTTATTATTAATAATACGTTCATTCAATTGGATTTGTTCTCTCTCTCTGAGCTAGGCGCACATTAGAGTGCACTAACTTGCACCTCGCCGGAAATGGGACAAGGACGACCACATAAACTTACGCAGAAAGATCGAGCGGAGGAAATACTGCATGTAATCTCTACTAGTTCTAATGGAGGGGAAACACACCAAGCTCCCCTGACTGAGATACAACTGAGCACGCCAAAGGGAATGACGGTAGTGGTTTCAGATATGGACAAAGGAAAACAAGGGAGAGAAGAAGAATGGCCGAAATTACCACATCAACGAGGATTTGGTGGGGGTACACAAAAAACCCTTGTTGAGGTCAATGGAATAGTAAATTGGGGGGAAATGTGGGTAATGCTCAAAGGAAGTTAAATCTTCCAGAGGTAACACCTGAGAAGCCTTGGGTTAATCTATTTTCCACAAATCGATTGGCTACAAGAGGTATGAATCTAAACTATATAGCCCCAATAATTGTTGAGGGGGGGGAGGTAGTACAAATAATGCTTGAAGATGTAGCTGAGGATGATATGAAATGGTCACCTTCGGTGGTTGTTTACTTTGTAGGAGTAACACCATCTATTGGAGCTATGGAAAGGTTTATTATAGAATAAGGGCCTTCTCTACTAAACCAGTGGTGTTATACCATTCTGATGGGTATTTTGTAGTCAGATTTGCAAATGAAGAGGAAAGGGATAAAGTGTTGTGTGCAGGGCCACATTATTTGCTCAAAAGGCCTGTTATAATGAAGCCTTGGTCCCAAAATTTACTTTCAAAGAGGAAATCCTTACCACTATTCCGTTGTGGATAAAACTTCTTAATATTCCCCTTAATTGCTGGAATTCTGTAGTACTAAGCACAATAAGTAGTAGTTTGGGAAAACCACTCTATGCTGATGAATGTATAACTCAAGCAAGTCGAATATCATTTACGAGAATACTTATCGAAATGGATGTGACTAGACCTCTTCCTAAGATGATTAAGATTCGAGATCCTAAGGGAAAGTGTTGGAGCAACAAGTTTGGTATGAGTGGAAACCAATATTTTGTCAAAAATATTTACAAGTGGGTCATTCATGTGTAGACAAGCCAAAAGTAATACCAGCAAAGAGAGGACAAGGACACAGGCAGAGGAAAGAATGGAGGCAAACAACAATAAGAGATAAGAATCAGGAGAAGCAAACAGAAAAACAGTCAAAACCTATTCCTGAAGTGGGAGCACAAAATGAAAAACAAGATCCACAGGAGCAAGATACAGATCATCTAGCAAAAGAGTGACACTACAATCTGCATGAAATGATAATACTGAACAAGGAGAGAGATACATGTTTGAAACTGGGCAACATAATGGAGTAATAGAGGAAGCTAGTATTGAACCTGAACCTCCAAATAAAATATGTTAGTCACCTGGAATATAAGAGGTTTTAATCAGGAGGTGAAGCACAAGGAGATGAGGTTATTTCTGAGGAGGAATAAGGTTAATATGATAGCAATATGTGAACATAAAGTTAAAGAAGATAGAGTCAGTAGTATTATAAATAAAATAATGCCAAGCTGGGAATGGTGCACAAATTCTGCTAACAATGTGAGAGGAAGCATTTGGGTGGTTGGGAATCCAGGTGTAATTAATTTCACTACTGTAGAAATTTCTGCACAACACATTCATGGGCAAGTTGAGATGCAAGGGAGCAAAATGAAATTTTAATTTACAGCAGTGTATGGCCTGCATTCAATCACTGCTAAAATCCATCTATGGACAACAATACATCAGTTGAGCACACACATCACTGATCCATGGTTGATTATGAGAGATTTTAATTCCATTTTTACAGCAAAGGACAGACCTATTGGAAGTCAAGTACAAAGCTCAGAAACTAGAGATTTTCAAGAATGCATCACTGATTGTAATTTAACTGAGTTGGCCACAGTTGGAAGGAAATTATCCTGGACAAATGGACATGTGTTTAGTAGAATTGATAGAGCACTGGTTAATATTGAGTGGGTACTGCATATGCCAATAGTACATGTGTTGGTTATGGATCCATTATTCTCAGATCATTCTCCTCTGAGTATCAATGTGGAGGAGCACAAGGATGCAAAGAAAAGGCCTTTTAAATTTTTCAACTGTTTAGCACAACATCCAGAGTTCAAAAATAAGATCAATGCAAGTTGGCAAATCAAAGGAAGAGGTTTGCAAGGGGTCTGGCAAAATCTGATGAAGGTGAGAAGAGAATTGCAGCAACTAAATCAAAAAGAATACATAGGGTATCAGAAAAGGTTCACAAACTAATAGTTGAGCTGATGGACATGCAAAGTCATATGAGAATTATACCTATTCCTCAATGCATGATTGATAAAGAAAAGGAGCTAAGGACATAGTTGAATAAATGGAGCAGGATTGATGAGGCAATTTATAAACAGAAATCCAGAGTGCAGTGGCTTAAGCTAGGAGATTTAAACACGTCATATTTTTATGCTAGTATGAAAAACAAGAAGTGTAACAACCCAGAATATTTTTGAACTAAGACTCGAACCTTCTTCGTAGTGAGTGAGATTTTACCAAGGAGTTTAAAATTTCTTAAGTGTTAAGGTCACTAGATGTAGCACCTTGAGTTTCAAAAAGAATTAAATTGGAAATAGCAAAATCTGAAATTTTGCAAGTTATGCTTAAGTATGAGTTTTGGGTCGACTTCAAACAACCATAATTCCTAGCTCAGGATGAATTAGGTGTGCTACCAGATACCGTAGCGAAGATCTTTGAATTATATTTCCAACGCTGTGGAGTTTGCTATGTTTCGAGGTTGGATGAGTGAGATATGGCCTTTTGAAGATAGGCTGTCCAGTTAAGGAAGGTTAGCCGAAAGTAGAGAAGGGTATTTTGGTCTTTTCCTTACCCAATCAGATTTAATTCGATTTTAGTAATATTTTAAGGGTCTAATCCTATTAGGTTCAGTTTTATAATCCTAAAATTAGCCTAGGGTTTTAGTTGAGAGTTCAAGAAGAGAAAAGAAGAGAGAAGAGGAGAAAAGAGGAGAGGATCAAGCGTTCGTCGAGATTCTTGCGTGTTGTAGCGGATTTTCGACATGGGTTTGATCCCTAAGAGGTATGTAAGCTTCCATAGTGTTGGGTTCTTTCACCCACACGCCAATCATGATTTATTCAGCGTAATTTCGTTCTTGAAATTTAAAGATTAGAGTTTTTGATGAGTTCTTGATAAGTGTTCTTGAAGTTTCATTAAGTTTTAATGTAAGATACTGCTTGGGTCAACTTTAAACGACCATATCTCTTACAATATTAAGAGTTACGTGAGCCATAACCTATCCAATTAAAGGTAATTGAATCTACTTTCCAACCCCACCAATTTCGAGTCAATCCAATTTCTGAGTAAAAAGTTGTGACTATTTTAGTAACCTATACAGTGCTGTTACGAATTAGCCGACGGGAAAATATTAAAAAGAGTCCTTTTTGCCTTTTACCTCCAAGAAAACCATAAACAAATTTCTTGACTAATAAAAGGCTCAAAACAATCAGATTTTCATCTTCACTAATGAAAATCATAATTCTTGGCCATAGAGATTTCAAGAAAAGAATCTCAAAAAAGGTTTTCTTGATTGTTTACCTTCAAGCTAGGGGTTCAAGGCTTCTAATCAAGTTCTTCTTCAAGATTCTTAAAGATTCTTCAAGAATATTGTTCTTCTAGGTATGTAAGGCTACCATAGTGTTGGACTAGTTCGTCCTCATGCCCTACATCTACTTTTAGATCAGAAAACGAGTAATCTAAGATACTTCCCTAGATTTGAGTATTCTTGAGATAAGTTGATTTTGAGTTCTTGAATTCATGTTTCTTTTAAAAGTTCTATTCCTAATTATCGAATAGCTATATTGTTATTAAGATCCTTCATATCATGAATCATAACTCTTGAATTCATAATTCAAATTCAAGAGAGAGTTAAGAGTAGAGTTCAAGAAAGCCTTTGAGTTCAATTGTGAATCCTTTGAGATCAACTATCGATTTGAACTAAGTTTTGAGGAAGTAAGTCAGAGAATGAGAAGATTCACATACATGCGTTTCATAATGTTATGTAGACCTACGAGTCAAGTCGTTCATGCCCATAAATTCCTCATGAACTCCAGAAGTTGAGTATCTTTGAGAGGAGTAGTATCTTCAAGTTCTAAGTCTTGAGTATTGAGTTCCTAATCCCCTTTGAGATTATATTTCTAAGCATGGGACTATTACATGTTACCCACAAAGTCTTTGAGTTGAATTGTTCATGCCCATAATTCTGCATGAATCCTATAAATCGAGCAGTCTTGAGAAGAGAAGTATCTTTGAGTCCTTAAGTTGAGTCGTTCATGGTTATAATTCCGCATGAACCATCTGAGTTGAGCATTCTTGAAATGAGTAGTATTATTGAAGTTCTTGAGTTCCAAGTATTTGAGTTCTATCTGTGGTTATTGAAAACCTTGCATTGAGTCGTTCATGTCCATCATTCGACACGAACCACATTTTAAGAAGTCTTTTACAAATATTTTACCTTTGTTTTAAGACTTAAGTTTTGAGTTCAGTAAAGAGTGAAGAGTAAAGTTTGAAGTCCTTTTCTTCAAAAGTATATGGGGACTAAGTATTCCCAAAGAGTTTATCAATGTTTTCACATTTAAATAAGAACGGAAACTGAGATTTCCAAAGGGCCTTCGGGCTAGTTTTCAGAAAAGAGTAATAGCTTTCTAAATGAAGCAAGTAGGGAAACTGAGATTTCTAATATAGCCTTTGAGCTAAGTTTTTGAGCAATTATCTCAAATCAGCAGAAAGAAGTATGTTTTTTAAAACATAAGAGCTAGTATATTTTTGGGAGTAGTATTGAGCACCGATATGGGGGAGAGTTCAGACAACTCACAGCCCCCATAAACCATGTAGCCATCATGGGTAGAAAAGGGTCATACTTTTTAGATGAATCCTTTTCACATAGACTAGTGGATCCATTAGTAGTTCAGATCTTATACCTTTGGCCGAGTATAGGATGCGCTGGCAGCGTGAGGTAGATCGATGTATCATCACTATAGCTCTTATGTGATGGTTGTCGATTAGAGAAACTCCCACAGAAGTTATTGTATTTTTATATACATCAGTTTATTGTATTTTTATATACATTTCAGAGTTATGTTGTATCCTTGCATACACACAAATTTGACAGCATGTTTTTAAACAATTTGTTTATTTATATTGCACTTGTTTTAAATTGCTTTATATTGAAATGAGTTCAGTCATATTTAGTTGAGTATTCAAAGTTGAGTATCCAGAGTTGAGTATCCTGAGTCGAATATCATATCTTTGAGTCGAATATCATATCCTTGAGTTGAGTATCTAATCTCGGAGTTGAGTATCTTATCCTTGAGTACTTCTGAGTTGAGTAAGTTTGAGTAGTTTTAAGTACCCTTGAGTATTCCTTGAGTTGAGTAAGTTTGAGAAGAGGTAAGTATGTTTCATTTCTATCAAGTTTCAAGCTTATGTTTATGTTTTAGAATTCCTCTTACATGCTCGTACATTCCACGTACTGAGCCATTTGGCCTGCATCTTCTCATGATGCAGACACAGGTATTCATGATCATCAACAGGAGCTTCGTTGATACATCCGAGAGTTCGAGTTAGCTATGGTGAGCCTCCTTGCTTTCAGAGGATTTCATTTACTTTTCAGTTATATCAGTTGTTAGGATGTCGTGGGTCTTGTCCCGACTTCCATCTTTATCAGTTAGAGGCTTCATAGATAGTCAGTACAGTTGAGAAGTTTGTATCATTTATTTTATTAAATGTTTTAAAGACTAAAGTTGTCGTTTTATGGCGAGTTGTATATATTTTATTATACAGAGTTTTCTTTAGACTTAAAGTTTATATTTAAGTTTTATGAACTTTTATTTTAGTTTTTAAGCTTTGTATGCTTGAATCAATTTTCCTCTTGTAGTCAGCCAGGATGAGGGTTCGCTTGGGGACCAGTAATGGTCTTCGAGTGCCGGCCACGTCCAGGGTGTAGGCTCGGGTCGTGACAGGAAGTCCCAGAATCAAATAACCATGCTTACCAAAAAAGGTGGTACAATCATCAGAGATCCAGAAGAAATTACCAGAGAAGTAGTGAGGTTTTATCAGAACCTGTTAGGACAAGCAAATTCTCTCATGCTAGCCACCCAGCCGACAGTATTAACCCAACCAACAATATTAAGGGATGGACCTGTACTATCTAGATCTAATCAACTGGAACTAATCCAACATTTTACAAAAGAGGATGTTCTGATGGCACTTAAAAGTATTAAGGATAACAAGGCACCAGGTGCAGATGGTTTCAACTCTTATTTTTTCAAGCAAGCTTGGCCTATTATAGGTGAGGAGGTAACTACTGTTGTTCTTCCATTCTTTAGCACTAACCAGATGTATGCTCATATTAACAGGACTTTAGTTACTCTTATTCCTAAAGTACAACATTTTAGCTCCAGTAAAGAATATAGACCTATTTCTTGTTGTACCACAATGTATAAGATCATATCCAAAATGCTCACTCACAGACTACAAGGAGTTATGGACTTTATAGTGGACCCTAGTCAGGTTGCATTTGTACCTGGTAGAATGCTAACAGACAATGTTATCCTAAGTCATGAGTTAATTATGGGATATGGGGGGGAAAGGAATCTCACCTAGGTATATGTTCAAAATTGATATGCAAAAGGCTTATGATTCTTTAGAGTGGCATTTTCTTGAGGAAGTTTTGGTTGGTATATAACTGCTTGATAGGTTTATTACATGGATTATGAAGTGTGTCAGGACAGTCTCTTACTCAATTATGATTAATGGATGCCCCAGTGTTCTATTTCAGGCAAGGAGAGGGGTAAGGCAAAGGTATCATTTATCCCCTTACCTATTTGTTCTGGCTATGAATTATCTTACAAGAATATTAAGATCATTGAGGAACAAGAATGCTTTTAAATTTCATCCGAGATGTCAAAAGCAACAAATATTTCAGTTGAGCTTTGCAGATGATCTTCTCTTATTTAGCAGATGAGACATACCATCAACTACACTTATGTTTGAATGTTTCTAGCAATTCTCCAAAACATCAGGACTCGTAACAAATCAATCTAAAAGTTGTGTGTACTTTGGTGGAGTCCCAAAACCAATTCAACGACAGATACTGCAATACACATGTTTCACTAAATGAGCTCTCCCTTTCAAGTATCTTGGGGTGCCACTCAGTTCAAAGAAGTTTTCTATTAGTCAATGCCAACCTTTAATAGATAAGATATTGG